AAAAAAAGAGAGAGATGGGGGTTGCACAGCTTGTTATACTTTCCGAGAGTTCTTTGTTGGTAACTGCTACGTGGATAATGCTCGCCCCTCCTTTCTTCAGAAGGGTCCAACTCTAATGCCACCTTCACATATTCAGATCTGGTGGAACCTTCAGAGCGGAGGTTGGCATGCCAATTTCCAACGGGATGACGGCCCTCTATGTCGTAGGCCAAAGAAAAGGGTTTCTCCGGTTGAACACGCCTTGGGGAGTGCGGTATCCCAGAGCAAATTAGGAGTTCTTCACCCATTTCCCTTAGCCTCTCAAGCCACTTTCAGCCCTCCAGGATGGTCTTTGTTTGAAGCCTCTGCTTGACCATTGACTGGAATAGACCGGCGTCGAATTGTAGAAACTCGTTTCAACTCTTTCGCAAAATCCGCGAAAAATTGTACCATCGAATTGAGCGCCATTATCCGAGATGAGGGCCCCTTGTATACCAAAACCGGTGAATCACCGTTTTGCCATAACAAACTTCTTCAACGTCCTTTTCCCTTATGGTCGCTAGTGGCTCGGCCTCACCCCACTTGGTGAATAGCGTGGCGGCGATGAAGAACTTACGGTTTCCCGGTGCAGCTGGGAGTGGCCCAACAATGTCCAACCCACCAAAAGCCGCGATACGGCAAGGACTTGTGAAGGGGACAATCTCTAGCCGGTTCTGGTGGATCTGGTGGCGAAATTTTCTAAATTCTCACACCTGCGCACAATATTTTTGCGCCCATCTGCCTGCTGCCGCCACCATAACCGTGAGAAATGCCGGTAAGCAAGGATCTACCTAGTACACACAGGCTGCCACAGAACGCCCTTCATGTATCTCATAGAGAAGCCTCCACCTTGTGGGGTGACACATTTCAAATCACGGGCCGGTGAAGACTTCTGTACAAGCCCCGAACCGGGGGAGAGCCAAAACCGCTGCCGACTTTGCCGGATCTGTTGTGCCGCCTTCTTGTTCTTCCGGTAGAAATTCTATCCTTCAAAAGGCTAGATAAGATCCACCAGAAGGGCCCCAAGTCAGTGCAGAGTACCTCGGCTGATTCGGTTTTCCTCTGCTTGGCCGGGGTAGAAACTCTAATCACAGGGGTTAGGAAAAGCTGTCCTGGGCAGAAGCCAGTACCGACAAATTCATCAGCCACGCCGTTGTCCTCGCGGTCGATTTGTTCCAACCTTATTGCGGCGAACTTCTTGATCTCTGCCCGTACCAGCGCCTGATACCTTGCCATTCTTTCGTCCTTTGCTTCATACTCCCTTGAGAACCTGATTGACCACCCACTTGAAATCACTAAATACCAAAGGGCTGTGGCTTTCATCTCAGCGGCTTCTCAGTCCGGCAAGGAGAGCTTCATACTCAGCCTCGTTGTTGGATGCTGGGAAGCCGAGTGTAATTGCCTGTTCGATGATCAGCCCGTCCCGGCGAGTTAGACGAGCCAAGCCGGCCCCATGTCTGTTGGACAACCCCATCAACGAAGAGTTTTCCACATTTCGCCAATAAATAGCCTCCAGGCAAATCAGAGGGGTTTCTGGGAGCTTCTCATTTCCAAGTCTCTGATCGATTCAATTCTGGTCCCTTTCCTTATCTTGGTTTTTGGGTTCATCGTCGTCGGACCTTTGGTTAGTCTCGGTCATCGCTTGTCCCCTTTTCCCTACTTGCGCAAACCAACAACTGCGCTTCTGCTGCAAGATCATGGGTTGTGCTAATCCGCACCACCAAATCAACCGGGCATACTGGATGCATCCTAAGGGCAAATTCCCCGCCAAAAGTCCGGCAAGTGCTTGAAGCCTTGATTGCGGTTGCGCGGTCGGAATTGGATTCATATCTTGTCCTAAATTCCACGGCCCATTTTCAAAATTCT